GTGTTGGAAATAAATAGGTGTAATCAATAGAAAACAATGGTTAAAAACACAGATACCTCTTGAACATTCTATGCTTAAGGTAGCCAGATTTTCAAAGTATATACTTGAATAACTAGGTCCAAAACTTTGTACACGAAACCTTACAAAGTCAAACCGACAGTGGCTTTTACTGACATATACAAAACCGAAAATATTCTGTAATAAACACAAATATCTGAACATCCCAACTATTTGAGATTATATACTATAATTTCGCAAAAACCCAGAAGTCAGCCTTTACAAATGGATGTATGTATTGAAGTATAAGATTGAACTTAGGTTTGTTTGAAATCGACATTAAGTCATAACTTATTAACTACTTATTCACATTGCAAGTAGATCAATTGTTTTCACAAAATTTAATCAAAATAACAATTAGTATACAGTTGATTATTGAATCCCATTGAAATAATGAACTGATTTAATTAGATAGCCATTAAAAGCTAGAAGCACTGAACGACTGTTTCACACTAGTATGGGACTACTCAGAAGTGCGCATCCACAATCCCGCACCAAATGGAATCGTCAGTCAGTCAGAATCAGACCTATGACGTTTTGTCTCGTGCACGAACACATCACCCCTAAACTGCTGAGCAAACATCCAACGGTGTTAATGTTTAGACTCGGTCAATTCACAAAATTGAGCAACCACCTTCCATTGTTTTGGTGGGAAGTTGTCTCACACCCTCCATGGATTAACTACAATGGTCATGGCTCCTTACCACAATTCTGAAGATTTTCTCTCGAAGCTAGTCATTACTCAGCACATAGTGATTCTCGATTTGGGTTTGTGGAGATTGTTGGATGCCGATTTAATGGTTAATAGATTAAGTGTTATCTCAAAAAAGTCCATGGCTCCAATCTCAAGTGCGAATTCGTGAGAGCACACTGCTAGGGAATCCCATACAATGACGAAACGTTTTGCATGGATAACTTAGATCGTTTCATGATTTCAACAAAACGACTTTTAGTTTGCATGAGCGAATTTACATCACACAATGTGAGTCGAGTCTGTCAACAGAAACTGATGTTCGAATGTCCATCGATTTTATCATAGAACTATTAATGTCAGCGAAAAGCAAATTATTATATCTGTTGTTTTCCGCAGAAATTTTTTCAGACGAAAACCCAAACTGGTAAGGTCATCCGATTATAATTTTCAGGGAGTTCTAATGCATTGTATACTTAACCGGGAATCATGATCTTTCGTGATCAATTTGGTTTCTAAAGGATGATGACCCCAATCTTTTAATGAACAATGGTTTTCGGCATTTAGTCGTTTCACTTGTAAACTTCAAAACTATGCAACTAATACAATAAAAGCTGTGTAACGAGGTAACAAATTTTATAATCTTTAACACTAACAAAGTCTCTCTTAAAAATGTAATATAAGTTTATCACATATCATCCGTATTAACTTTACATATACTACATGGAATGAGTTACAAATATTTCATCAAAATCACTTCAATCGATCCTAAGGAACCTAAATGACGAAATGACAAAAGAATAAACCGAACATCATCTACAAAATAAACTGTTCCAACTGAGAAAAACACTACATCGGATAAAGTGGAAGCCCACTTCATCTTCGTTTGCACGAACATTAATTAGCGATCAAATGCCACGACATATCTTCGCTTACATTAATGCATATGGACACAAATTCGATTAGAAAAATGTTCAGATCTTGGATAGAGAGAATACTGGAAAAGTCAGAGAATTTTTAAAAGCTCGGTCAATCAGCAGTCAACAAACATATGGAAATCGATCCAATCTGTCAGAAAAACCATGAACAAATATAGAGCCAAGAATCGAATAAAAGGGAGATACAATCACAATAAGGAAGTAGACAATGACAGACTTAACATCAGAAATAACCAATCAAGATCAAGGTGGACAGGACGAGCTGTGAGTGATGTGGAGAAATTTGAACACTTCACTTCTACCTGAAGTTGGTGACGAGGATTCCGTTCAGAATAACAATGAAAGCTCTAAGACCAAACCATCCAGTTCGGAGAACAAAACTTCACCTAAATATTGCTTTTTAGTCATATATTATCATAGATGAAGTCAATAGAGTGACATTAAGAAGTCAAAATAGAGTGAAGTACTCTAAACTGACCAATACTTGTCTCTGTTATCGAGTTTATGTATTTGTTGTCTCAAGCTATTCACAAATTAATAAGGACTTACTATTCTCATGAACAGTAACAGTCAGGAAAAATTTTCCAAACATGATTTCTTTCTGAAAGCCTATGTATAGATTATCGTTGTGACATGGCTCAAAATCGTTTGCAATGGCGCAGGTGCATCCACTCTTTGTGTTTTCCCAAATTTTAAATCTCCTGATTCCTCCTTGTCTCTTTTTCTCTTCCCAAACTTATCTCACTGGATTATACTCTCTAAATAACATCTCCAAACCCTAATCTTTCCGATTACTCCTTATACTCTTACTACCTCTACCACTACGGGATTTGAATCGACAACAGCATCTCTGTGCTAATGTGGTATGGCGACTCGAACTGATGTACTTACGTACGAAGTTCTACGTTGTTACTGACTGACTGATTGTATGTGGAAAAATCGACTAAAATTAATTCATTTTATCCATATAACATAAGCGTAATAGGAGATTTGTGACACAATCGGTTATTCTGTTTGATACTGATACATTAGGAAAGGATGTTTTACAAACATATATAGTAGAAATGATAAATCTTGTACATTTTGTCTTTTTTTAAGTTGCAGTGGTATGGATGGATTATTCAGTAAAAACAGTATTCATTCAGTCATTTCATAGAGTTGATTGTAGATTATGAATATTGATCTTATCTTTGACAATTTTACTGTCAAATTTGGCATCGTATATGTAGGGATCGATCTTACCATTACGTTGATATAACACTTATTCATTTATCACATTGTAATTGGGAAACTAATCAATTTATGTTATTAACTGCTTTATTTAAAGCTACTCGTGAATACGTCTGTATAGATGCAACATATTAAACTTGTGTGAATGGAGAAACCCCGAACAGAGGAAATGATTTTAACCTAAAAATATATTAGGTGATTAGGAGTGATATATCTATCTTGTTACAGAACATATATAGTATTTTGTAGGATTGGTACAGACGTATTTACAAGTAGCTTTAAATAATTACACAAATGAAATGCTCTAGGGTTCAGAGTCTTGATATCTTTACTTAGGTATAATAATTATGAGACCTGACCGCTCCCAGTTGAGGATATTCGGGAGCTCACTGAACTTGGCTAATACTGTATAGGCAAGACTGCTCACAGTTTAGTGGGACATCAATTATGAAGTAGCATTTTGAGACTCTTATTCGAACTGATCATATGAAGCTAACCCCGAGTATTGGGAATATTTTGCATGCAACATGAACTGATTTTCGATGTACAATCATGAGGTATATAGTACTGTTATAGATCCATCCATATAGTGTATTAAAAAGTTATGATATATTATTTAGAATCAAAACAGCTTCTAATGTGACTTCATTTCATTTTGCACTACTAAAAACTTACACAAAGTATCATCAATTTATTACCCATCAGTTTCCTTTTTTTCGGTTGAGGATGTTATATTGATTTATGTGTCGCATACTTGAATATACCTGCTATTTGTTTGAACCGTCAGACGTGTTTTAAAGAAGAAAATACAAAGGTGCATGTGTCATTTTTTTATAGAGATAAATGATGAATTTGACACGTAGAAAAGCGTAAATTCTCTTTTGAAATATTTCTCATATAGTTGTGTATAGTGACGTGTCTAAATTCTTCTAGGTTTGCATACATTCACCTATTTTGCAATTTGAATTGTAACTTTCGGATTATCTTACTGGTGTGTGTCGGACCTTTTTCCCCAAATGCCCTGGTACGACCGTGGTGAGGTAAGTCAGTTCGCCCCATCGAAATGCTCTCACATAGCCACGCGTATACAGCCACTGTCAGGGAACCCTGCTCATATCTTTCTCGAGGCCGGAGTGTTGTTTACGAAATTGAGAGGACGAAAAGCGAATATCCGGCCCTTTAACTGGGTCGGTAGATATAGAAGATCCACATAGGGGAGTTGGAAAACTCTGACTCCAAACCAATGGTATACATGGGCTCTAGGATTCTGGGCGAACAAATGGCGTATAAACCTATTGTTGGCCACTGGCTACCATGGGATTCCATCTCCTAATGTTGTTCCACTGTCTTATAGATTACAGCTGCAGGTCAAAGGCTCGGAATGTGACCCCTAAAAAACCACCTGCTTCGGTCTAGGCACCCGGGCAGTGTCACAGCTCACACAAAAATCAAGTGACTTGTGTGGCGCATATGCAATCAGTTTCCCTTCGTACCAATATTTATGTGTTCAAATAAATAAATAATAAATTAGCTTACTGAGACGTAAATTCTATGATCCACGTATAGAATAAGACATATACTCTAGAATCAAATGTTAATAGCCATTAAAAGAATAACTGATTAATACCTTCAAACTCCATATACGCCTAATTTTCAAATAGTGGGTTATGTTTCGTGAAGACTTAGCCAGTCAGGCACCGAGACCTCATGAAACAGATGTAAATTTCACCAGAATAATTGATAGTAGGCATGAAAATCAAGGTATATTTTTTAAAGCGAGGGAGCAAAACTAACTAACAAAACTAATGCTTTATCTTTCAAAGGTTACGGTTTATTTTATCAGTGGCTGGAAATGATATAGATAGGGATAAATGGCAAGATTTGTCACAAAAATCTATAAATTAATCATTTTCACTTGGGAATTGGGCATAATGTTCCTAAATACAATCAGTCTACCTATTGTTAAAACTATGTATTGTAATAAAAAACATCAATGATCTTACCTCGAAAAATATATCTCGCACCATAAGAAATTTATTTGAGTAAGTTCTGATTTGCCTCCAGATTTACATTTTGTAACTTATGCAGGATTCATTGCTTCAGGGGAGGAATGAGTGAATTCGAAAAAATTACAGATTTGATCACAGTCAAGTTGGATTTTGAAACGTTTGTTGAACGAATAATTAAGCTGCTAGGCACATGTTAGAGGTTGACCATGAAGGAAGTCAAGATCAGTGTTGATGTCTAAAACACTATGCTTTTCAAAACTCTTTATGCATTGAGCACGCAATCTCGATGAATGATCCAAGTTGCGTTCATCGGTCGAAGTATTTTTAAGTCTTCCACATCGGTATCGAGTACTTTTAATATCTCTTTTGTTACTTCTGTGACCTTTTAAAGGCTTTATTTTCTTTCTGCTTGACAAACCAGCAGTACATCCAATTTGAGGAGCAACAGGGGTTGCGTTTTCATGACAAACTTGAGAAAAATGAAATGATTGATCTGTCATTCGTAACCGATGTTCAGAATCAAACACTTTCTCAACCATACCACAACCATCTCCATTATCGTCATCTTCGCTAGGTGACGGTATGTACAAACCAACAAGCCCAGAACTCATTGGAAGAGCTCGGTTCAGGATTCTATGAATTTGAAACTGATTAGGATCCATAAAAGTTTCTGCCTCGCTTGCAACACAAAACCCAGTTAATTCCTGAACAGAACTGTCGTTTTTAACATTAAACTCCTCTGGTAATATGGAAAGACTTGCATTTTCATCTAGATGATCTACGTCATTTGAAGCTTGAGAAGAATTAGAAGACATATCAGAAGGTACTTGGACATTTAATGGAGAAACTACAGATTGACAAACAAGTTCATCCTTCGATCCATTCACAGGCTTACCCAAACGAATAACTAGACGTAAAGGGTGAGATTCTGGACGCTCCATTTTAGGAATTTTCTGATGTACACCAGTAAGATTCGTGATGGAATAGGATTGACTATTATCACAACAATTATCAACATCATTGTTTGAGGCTTTTTTACTAAATACGTTTTCTGGAATTATTGATCGAGCACATGAAATATTCAGCTGCTTACTGTCAGCTAGTGATGCATCACTACAAGCACCAATTAAATGACTACGGGGTCGCGCTACATTAGCAACATGCCGACGAGCAGATACTGATCGAAAACTGGCAGTGTTTCGCTTCCGAGGGGAAGTTGAGAGATTGGCACGCCAAGGCCGTGTCTACAAATGAATCAGAAACATCACTCAAATTATATAGTGAGAATAGTTGAAATTGTGTAATTTATCTAACTGCATAATATTAAAGGAAACCTTTATCAAGTTTGAATATCCAGTAATGCTTAATGTTTGTGTACTATAGCTTGGAGTAATACTCGTTATGTTATAGTTTATGAGGGTACCCGACAAATCAGACAAAAAACAAAGGAATTTACCAACTCAGAGATAATTGTTAAATATTCTCACTACTTTTTCCTTAGTGGTATTTTTGATTCCGAAAATCCGGTAGACAGTATTTTAGAAACCCCTTAAAATCATTTTCAGCAGTTAAAGTACACAACATTGCAGATCCAACAAAAGCTATCAATGCAGTAATTAAATTAGGGATTCAAAACTGAACCAATCTATTGGGTAATAGATACTACGTATTATGAAAAACTCTGAATCATACAGAGAGAGTGTATACACTATCTATTAGATGGTGGTTGGAGATAGTCAACAGGAAACCTTGGACCCGGGTTTCGTGCTACTTGGCACTCGTCAGCAAGGTGTGCTGTAATCTTGAGGGAACTGGTGCTCCCTGGCGGATTCGATCTCGTGTCACCCAGCTTCACAGTCAGAGACGTTACCACTGAGCTATCCGAGCCGTGACTAACCTCCTGTAGGACTGAGATGTAATCACAATTGATTGATCACTGGGTGGTGATCAATCTCATGCTTGTCTAGTCCTTATTAGTGCAGATCGAATGCTATCGATCATGTTGCAATGTGGCCACCAGTCTAGGTGACTCGACACTGCGGGCACTATGTATTGAGATTAGATGGTGGTTGGAGGTAGTCAACAGGAAACCTTGGACCCGGGTTCGTGCTACTTGGCACTCGTCAGCAAGGTGTACCTGTAATCGTGAGGGAACTGGTGCTCCCTGGATAGCTCCCTCGGATAGCTCAGTGGTAACGTCTCTGACTGTGAAGCTGGGTGACACGAGATCGAATCCGCCAGGGAGCACCAGTTCCCTCAAGATTACAGGTACACCTTGCTGACGAGTGCCAAGTAGCACGAAACCCGGGTCCAGGGTTTCCTGTTGACTACCTCCAACCACCATCTAATCTCAATACATAGTGCCCGCAGTGTCGAGTCACCTAGACTGGTGGCCACATTGCAACATGATCGATAGCATTCGATCTGCACTAATAAGGACTAGACAAGCATGAGATTGATCACCACCCAGTGATCAATCAATTGTGAATACACTATCTATCTTCCTTTAAACTAAGAGAATAAAATCGCTTCATATCTTTCTTTCTACGAACTAATTCTTTCTTCCTGTACTATATCCTTATTGCAATCTTTCTTTTATATATTACCACCTCTGAATTAACCACTTATATCAATCCGATGTCCATCTTGTTGTGTTAATGAGGTATGGCAACTTGGACCGATGCACATATGTGCCTGGTCCTACGTTGTGGTTGACTGACTGAATCATACATTTAAAATTAATCCCTAACTATGAGGATAGCAGTTCAATTGAAAATAATCTCGTGTGATGTTACTTGGTACAGACTCAAGAGTTGTCAGCAAAAGTTGATTGTACTTTTATGAGTTACAATCGATAAATGTGCATCTATGTTAACTTTAAAGATTAAAGTGAATTGAGTTAGATAGAGTAAATAATCATAACCTCGTTTTGAAAATATTACTAAAATATAATAACTAGTAATAAGCTACTACTAATTCTTGTTACTCAGTTTTATGATGAACATTGACATTATCTAAAATAAAAGATGAGGTTTTAAAAGCAAATATGAATGACACAATGCAGTCACACAGACATCTCATCTTCCAAAAAAACGGAGATAATACAAAGACAGAACATGGTTGACTTACCAATTGAGCGTAGTTACTTCGACGTTCTTGTCTTGCAGTCGAGAAAATCTTTTTAGTTGACAAGGGATGCACAGGTATATTCTTTACCGTGCCACTAGGAAGAACACTAGATAGTGAATAAGCTTGATTGGATTGTGTGATATGAACGTTATGAGTAACAGATGATGCCTCATGCAACCGTGAGGACTTCGGGGGGTTTCGACATTGAAGATTACTATCCATTATAATAGTAAGATTCCTATGACCTTTACAATGGATGCTTGTTTTTTCGTTCTTTTTTCTTTTTCTGCTTGAATTATTGGAGTTGGATTTGGATATTTCTTTAACGACAGGGACTTTGTTTACAAGACGAATACTCAGCGAACAATTTGAGGGATCATCTACCATCTCTACACTGGTTGGATTTAGTTTCCATGACTGGATCATTGAGATGGAGTTTCTTACGCTTCTTTTTCTTTGACTTAGATTTAAGTGCAGCTAGCTTGAGGTTAAGACGTAATCTGATTGGGGGATGTGAAGTAGTTTGCCATTGTCAGTCATGATATTCTCAGAAGGTGAATCAGGAAATAAAGAACCAACATTTTTATCTTGAAGCACATCAGATTGGAGTGAATTTTTACTTGCTGTATTTTCGGAATGAATACCCACAAACCTACAAATTGGATCTGTTCCACCTTCATCAACAGAAGAAACAACTTCGGAGCAGGATAAATTATCTTCAATACCAGCAGGAACGCTTATTGACTGTTCACAGTTAACACTGGTTAACTGCACACTAGGAGAAGCAGAGGGTATGTAATTGCCATTATCTTTATCTGCATTATCAACAACCACAGCTCCTGCATTAGAAATTACCGATGAATTATTCATAATAATTGTGGGAGAAGTGGAATGTCCTATTACACTAAAATCTGAAGGTGCATTTGTACTTTCAAGTTTTAAGCAAACAGGGCTAGAAAGAATCTTTTCGGATTTATTACACTCATCCACAGAGGGCTTCTCCGAGTCAGAATAATGGTGTTGAGTTTCGTTATTTACTGTTGTAACAAAGTGATTAGAAATATCATCTATACTGGGAACAGAATTATTTCCTTCAGTGTAAAAATTGTCCGAGTTATGCAAGAGGATCTCAGTAGTAGACTTTCTAAGGGATGTACAGGGACGTCGCTGACGTTTCCCAGCTGATCGTTTACGCCTATTCATTTTTCTTGGCAACGAGGAAATGCGTTTTAAACGTTTTTTAAGAGTTTCAGAAACATTAGACTTAGATGGTGATGATTTTGACGATTTACTGACATCATTGAAGGGAAGCTGGTTACTAAAGTGATTTGGTGAAGCTCGTGGAGACGAAGAGATAGTGGCTGGAAACAAAGTCGAGTTTTCTGCGCTCTTACTTGATGTTAAATGTGGAAGGTCGGGTTGAAATAATGGTTTCGGTTGCAGAGCAGAAGCATCGATTTGCATAGATTTATCAATGAACCAAGAGGAGTTGCACGATAGCGAAGTAGAGATGTTAGGAGTTTGTGAAACTTCCTTAGATTTACATTTTGAAGAGGCGAACTTTGCCAAGTCCGCGAAAGTCACATTTCTCCACAGAGTTTCTGAGGTATATTAAGGTGGAATTCATTTCCAACATTTTTCTTTTCAACTTTAGCTGCCAATGCACTAAAGCTAGTTGCTCGGAAGGCAGCAGCCCCAGCAAAGCTACCAGCGATCCCTGCATTTCTGTTAACGGGTAAAGGTGAAACAGTTGGAAACACTTTTTCAAGTGAGTGACTTGAGCTACTATCACACAAAGAATTCGACTGATTAACTGCTGTGGTAATTGGTAAAGACAAAGTATGACTTTGGAAAGGACTATCCGATTTAGGTAAAGAACAGAACGAAGCAAGTGTAGGAAGAGCGCTGAAGGTATGTGATACGGGAGTGGAGAAAACCAGTTGATGAGAAGCTATAGAACTTTTGCCTGACTCGTAACTCGTCGAGACTGGCTCGTCAAAAATATGATTGTTACCATTAGTTTCCGACGACAAGATTGAGGAACTTTCTGGAACCTCTTCCGTCGTAGACCGGGTATCATTGAAATGATTTTCAGATTCCAGATTTGAGTAGAGACTGAATCGCAGTCTCCTGAGGTAGACTGTTCATTGCACTGTTTACTAAATAACAAAACATTTTGATTCGGCTCACACCAAGAATTAAAGTTAGACTTTAGGCTGCGGATAGTTTCACCAGTACATGACTTTAATGCAGCAAAAGTTTGTAGTTTTGTGTCGTGTAAGAAACGTTCAAAGGGTGCTTCACCCAGTGACTCGAATGGTTTCAAAAAGTTAGGATTCACTCCAATAAAATTATTCTTATCAAAATCGAAACGCCAGTGATTTGTATGTCTTTCTGTTACTGTAGGCAAATCAACTTGGGTTTGGGCACGAGGCTTTATTCCAGTGATGTATCTTCCACGTTTTTTGCGTTTACGAGACTCTTGAGTATGAAGTTGTGTAGGTGTTGAAGATGAGACAATATTTTCGTCATGACTAGCTTTAACAACAACTGTTTCATCTGGTTCAACTTTAAACTTATGGGCAGATGGGATCGTGGAGTAAGAATCATCAGATGAACAAGCATCAGAATGTAAACATGACTCTGGAAATAAGGACGCTCCAGTAGCTAGTACCAAAGGGGGTAGATGACATTCGAACTCCGGAGAAACGGGAGGATTAGGGACATTTGATAACTCACCATTTGCCAAAGATAACCTAAATAAAATAAGACACGCTCCTGAATGTATATCCATGCAACATGAATGAACGTTTATTGGGTAACATTGGTTTCGAATGCTAACACAATGCTGAAATGTCTTACACTTACAATTAATAAACGTTTCAAAGACAAGTAGACTGTGATTGGTATCTGCAGTTCTAAATAATTAAGTCTTACGGAGGAGGCATGATGAGAAACCTTAGGTCCACAATCCCACTATGCAAATTAAGTTGAGTATTTTGAGGCATGAAATCCTAACCATAAACGTTATACTAACCTATTATAGCTAAGAATTGTGATTTTATTAAAATAGACAAACTTATAGCACAAAGGTACGAAGCTTTAAAAACATCTCATTTTTACGTGCTGAAAGTTCTCGATGAAAAAGAAGGAAATAAGTTCCTGAATGGCTTCAGAAAACTCAAGTCCAAGAGTTAGGGAGCATTAATATCTTACCAATGCATATGAGGGCCCTATAATTCCGAAGAAATGAATGGATTACGAACATACCTTCGGTACTGATAAGGATTCAAATGTAATTCATCATATAGCTCTAAATTCTATGAAACAGATTTTAAGACAAAAGATTCAGTAATAAATCCTCGAAAATTATCTCAATTTTGGTAGTACCACTGGCTTCACAGAATTTATGATAAATGAATTGTCTGATTTTGGGGTTTTATTAAGTGGGAGTGGTACATTTTTCTCTTCATTTTCAGGACCAATATTGGCTTATAGATATTATTATTCCAGGTCGATGTCAAAACCGATCAGCCAATAAAGTATGTATCAATACAAACGAATGAGTTTTGACGAATAAGACATGGGATTAAATCCGTAAATGTCTAATTCTCAGGTAGCGTTTTTTATCTTCATACACAAGACTTAAAAACGAGCAGGTAAATCTTTAACTTACATTATTCTCTATATAACATAAAAAAGTCTACATAACATTGTATTTTAACGCTCCTTAACTTAAGGTTTGAAAATATCAATGTGAACATACTGTTTTGATCATCTACATTTTTTGACTATTATTAACTATAGAAATCCCATGGGTGGACTAACAACACTGTTTAAAAATGATATAATCCAAAATAAGTTGTACTTACCCAAAGGAGTGAGGACGTCTTGTAGCCAGTTCTAAAAGATCGTTAGTAGTCATATCCATGGTAGATTTATTTGGTTGGTTTTGAGAATGATGGAACTCATTTATAGCCGGAGCGACACTCTGAGGACTTATTTCATGGGCAGAGGGATCTGATTTACAACTGGTTTTAATTGGATTCCTTTTTAAGTAGGATAAATGTGGTTTTTTATTACCTGCACGTTTTCGTCTCCCACGTTTGGAGTGCACGTTATTTGAGTTTTTGAATCGCGTCTGCCCGAAATTGAGACTTTTGTTAGAAGAGTGACCACTGCTGACTGATAGTAAAGTACTTGCAGGAATACCATCACTGTGAACTATTTTGGAATCACTGGAAAAATCCACATTTTTCCAATCCGAAAACTCAAAATTACACACATCACTATTTGAAGTCTCATATGTGCCTGTTGTTTTGGTGCTGAGCTTTGAGATACACTTGAGGTTTGAGATGAAACCATAACGCTTTCAGAACCGCTAGAAGTATTCTTCGTAGACTCAAAAGTTTGTTGACTACGACGCTGACAACTTTTTAACATTCGATCAAGTGAGGCTAATCCTTCTATGCTTGATTTGATGGGTGAAATATCAGAATCACCTTCCAATTCTGCAACTGCCTCCACTAGGGCAGATGATGAAGCAAGAACTCCAAGAATAGAAATATTGGATACCATATCTTCTGTATTTACTGATATATTCTGGTCAGAAGAAAAGATTGATGATGGCTCCTTATTGTCGAAATAAATATCTGGTTTAAACAAACATATTGTCGAGGTGGCAATGTCACAAGATGAAAATGGGTTAGAAGCACACGATTTTGATACGTTTTCTGTCTCTTGAACTATGTCAAACTGTGAAAACGAAGTTAAATTAGGCAAGCTTTGAGAGCGGAGTGGTAAGTTGGAACCAGATTCAGAACAAATATCCCTACACCAAATGAAAACTTAGGACTAACAGATTGAGGACGCCTTGTAAGATCACAGTAAACCGGATTTGTTGGTGAAGGGATTTTAGAGAAATCGTAGTGGCAACTATCAAATGTGTCTACCATTGAGACAGAGCTCTGAGTATCAGGCTTATCTTGTAAAGGTAACGTTGAGCTATTTGGTGATACAGATTTTTCTCCCAATATAGATGGAATTAAGTCGACTAACTCAGTTTTTTTGTCAGGCGACAAAAACCCTGCATTTTTGTTTATTGTGGTATTGGTATGTGTTTTAATGTTATCGTCAATGGCAGTTTGTTGAGACTCCGCAGTTACCAATGTAACTGGATCGCTGCTACCTAAGGAGTCGATCAAATGGCTTTTAGTATTTTCGGCAATGTCGTGATTTAAACTACTTTCAATTGTGCATTCTTTGACCTCATTTACTGGAGATGATAGCATCGAAGGGATATATTCTTCCTGTTGAGCAGATTCTTTAACTAGAACTGGACTTCTTACAGATCTGTCGATCTTATGTTGTGGGGATGCATTTCTAGGCTGAGCTGTTTGAATATCATTGGGTTCAACAATTCTAAGATCTGTGCAGTCAATACGTAACAGTTTCTTATCTTTTGTCGCATTTTCGTTGTGTTTCATTTTGTCCTCTATGTGAGAAACGAAATCAGTAACCGAAACAGGAATTGTATTCTCACTGTGCATTTCGGACTGACTAATGGGTGAATTCGGTTGAGGTCCTAACAACATTAGGGCTTCATCGAACTGTTCTGCTGTTGTACATTCATTTACTGCATCAGAAAAATCTACACCAATGAAATCGTCGTCAATATCAGATGTGAACCTGCATGACCTATTAAGACGCCGCGAAGTGGCCTCAAAGAAATGATTGAAACTTTTGCTTCCTCCCGGTGGTGATCCAAAGCGTGAAGACACCGAAATAGCGTCGGCATCACGAAGTAAGGATCTAACTTGTCTTGATACAGGCAATGTATTTGTTGCATCTCCAACCATTTCGCAAGCAATATCACTAGGAAAATCATCGACTGAATGGAAACTTAAATCGTTTTCGGTTTCTTGTTTAGATTCATGCGGAGAGTGAAAATCATTATCAAAAATATTAACTGAATTATTCTGTACATTTAAATCATCCACTGTAGGTGAAGGACCAACAAGGGAATGAAGAAAAGAATCCGAAACACCTCCACCATCGGATAAATCTGGAGCTTCCTGACCTAAAACTGACTCTAAATCCGCAGCATCTTCAGCATTACAACCAAGAACTGCTGCCAAACTTGTGGGTTCATAACCATCATCGAATTCATTAACTGAATCAGATGTTTCATTCGCGAACTGATCATTTACCTCCGTTTTGGGAAAATCATCAAACAAATCACTTGGTAAGAGATCGTCGGGCTTTGTTTCCTTTAAGCCATTAACTGAGTCGCCAACATTAATAGGATCAAGAAGTGGTGAAAGTTTACAACTAGTGGAATGAGCTGGTAGCAAAGAACTACTGAATGTTACATGGATATCACCATGGACATCATCTTTATTTTCCGGATGAGAAGAATCGCATTCTGAGGAAAGTGTATTTTGGTGAGTTACTGATGCAAGAGAAGAAGAAGGTAAAGGAACGGCAACAGCTGACTGTGCATCTCCAACTCCACTCGCAGCACCAACCATAGCAGCTGCAGCAAGTAAAGCATCAATATCAGCATTTCCTGTACTTTCTTCGTTTGGACAAGACAACTGCGTACCATCATCACGATTTTCGAAATCAGTTCTATATTCTGGTTCACTATCCAAAAGAATTACATCTTTATCTAAAACGTCAGAATCAGGGTTAACAGAAGACGGATTTAGAATATGAGTCTGGCAACCCAAATCCGTATTGAAGTTAAAAGCTGTTGCATTTTGTGAATAAACCTGGAGGAAATCTTCGAACATGCCATTATTCTCATCATCTGTTTGGTTTATTAGAACATCTGGATTCTGTTTTTCGTGAGTCTCAAAGTCATCCTCCATTTGTGTTAGATGCCAAGCAAGACTAATGAGGTCATCTTTAGCCAAACAAGCATCGTCCTCTACAATTCCGTTGGTTTCGCATATGCTTGTGCTAACTTCCAAACTGGGTAACGCAATCGATGAAACGGGTAGTGACGGGAAAATGGGAATGTTTCCACCATTACCATTGCTATGAAAATTACCCGCTGACGTAAGAAAAGCATTTTGACAAGCCATTTGACTCTGGACGATGGTGGATTCTGAAGATATATGTACATTAGACGATATGCAAGAACTATCCATCAAACTAGGTGCAAATGATTGTAAGAATGCCGTATGATCCGTAAATGTATTTGCACCAGCTATATCAGTAGGTATATTTGGGAAAATAGTTGGGACAATTTGGTTAGAAAGGAGATGTTGCGTCTGAAAAGGATACATGACCGGTCCGGATTGTGAAGAAGGCTGAATACTCATTGTCTGATTCGGCTGAGAGCACACAGTTGATATATTGATTGACGGTGAGTCACTAGAAGATATTGTAGGGGGATATGGGTTATTCATAGGAATGCATGATGAGGGGTAATATGTTAAAAGCCCGGTAACAGGATCGAGAGAAGCCATTGTTGGTCCATTATTGGCAGCAAATATATTCGCAGAACTGACAGATGGAAGAGACCGAACAACAGCTAACGGACATGACGTTGACGGAGAAATGGAGACAGTACACGTAACAGGACTAAAGACAGAATTCGGAAATTGTGAGCAACTGTTAGATATAGGGAGAGGTGGTTGAAAAAGAAAGGGAGCCACGCCGTTCGGCATTGTAATAGGTGGTACGTTATGCAATGGATTACCAAAAGAAATGTTGGTGGAATGGGTCCAGGTGGTAAAACTGCTCCGGGATTCGTAGTCGGTGGTACCAAAATGGGTGGTGTGCTGTAAAACGATGATAATGAAGATTGATTACTTAATGGTAAGGAAACTGGGGTCTGCAAAGAGCAAACATTACTGGTATCAGTGCTGATCCCCATCCCTGAGTTAACAGAGTTTGTTATACATATAGGCGAAGCATGTGCACTAGTAACAAACGTAGTAGAAACAGATTGTTGTCCAACAGCACAGCGACGTCTACCTCGACCCGACCGTACAAAAGAGGAACTAAAGTTAACTAAGGGTAACGATACCTTTCTAGAAGCTGAATGCAACAGTTTCTGAGGTGTTGGTACTCCAGTAATTGCTCCAATATTTGGAATGCTAGCATGATTACTTTGCGAGGAAGTGCTGTTTGATACAATTCCATTCACACTTGAAATAGCAGTAACTAGACCATGACGCTTTGTCCCACTTTTTGATATTGTAGTAGAAGCAGATGTAGGTTTTACCCCCAAAGTAGCAACAGAACTAACGTTTGATGGCTTGGGAGCGATAGCTCTCATACGTTTGGCTCCCCCAACAGCACTGACAGGATTGGAAAGCAGGGGACTAATATTAACTCCTGGAAGTTTAGTATTGATAACACTGGTTGTAGTTACTGTTGTAGTTAAAGGACCAACAGAAAGTGTAGAATAAGGGATCACTGTTGAAACGGGAACTCCAACCTGAGGAAGAGTTGGATTAATAAACCCATTAGATGGCCCACATAAAGAGATAGGTGTGGATGTTTGGTTTGTCATAGTATAAGAGGAGGCGGGTACTGTAGACATAGAAGACACTGAATGTGAAGGTAAAGGTGTAGGTGTGATCGATAAGATTATTGGACCACCATTGACAGTCCCTCCACTGGCTAACGCGCTGGATATACCATCCCAAATTAACTGCGTCGGAACGTTGATTGTGTAATGTTCTCCCATTTTAACACCTGGTAATGGTAAGACTTGAAGAAGAACCGGTGGTAACCCTGGAAAATTAATTTGCGCAGCTGGAAAGTCACCATTCGGACTAATTGGCATCAAATTCAAAGGAAAACATGGTGGTAAAGGTGGGTTGCTTATAGGACGAATCCCACATTCTCCATTGAAACTTGAAACATTTTCTGAATGCATATGGTTGGAATTTAACATATTAGACTGTAAAGCTAACGTGGACTGGTGTGGACCCAGATATGGAAGACGACAAATTTTGTGTTGGATCAATAACTTCAACTGTTTGGTTAGCGATCGTCGAAAAACTTGGATTTGGACAAATCGTAGATGATTCAACTGGCAGCACGGAGTCATACGAAAAAGTAGGATTAGTTATGGTAGAACACAAAAACTCATTTTTACATGTCATAGGAACGGTTATGTTTGGATTTCCCAAGCCATTTATAGCTAAGGAACTACTAGTAATTGGAGGGACCGAACGAATCCCAGAAGTTGAATTGTTTGGGGAATTGATTGAATGAATTAACAATGACGCAGATGATGGTAGAATTATTGGGTTGTGACTAGACGAAGGTACGTTTAAGTTCAAGCTATTGACAGGAGTTTGCAAAGACGTCAGCGACAAGGAGGAAGGCGGGTTAGGTGAAACTGATGAAGTAACAGATACAGCAGAAGAACATAGAACATTTGAAGACAAACCAGACACGATTGGAACAGCGACAGGTGAGATACCTGAATGACAAACGGGTGTTTCAAATGAAGACCCGCAGCTAGGATTGGGAACAGCTGCGCACGAAGTGGGTGTGCATATGACAATAGGACTTTCATTCATTGTTTTATGAACTAAAACAAGAGAATAAAAACAGATGCGAATATAGTTGGTTATTTTTCCTTTAAAACACTAATATTTAGGATTTGATTTATTATAATCATAAAAACATTTCGAAAAAAACAATTCACCAACATCACGAATAAAAAACAGTAACCTAAACAAATTCCCCACTTGTAAATGGAAACCACGATCAAAAACAACATGAATCCCGTCCCAATCCGCTAGTTGGCATGCCGATCCAGGTAAAAATGAAAACACTCATGGGTTGAGAGTGTATTTATAAATTCATTCCCCGACCGTTGTTGCTACCTTGACGTGGTGGTCGGGCTTGCCTATCGTGATGAAGCAACCGAGCTATACTGGCTGGAACAACCGTTCCTCAAGGTCCTACCATGTCAGACAGGTCGGTTGAAGAGCGGTAAGACTAAAAGCAACAAACCCAAGGTCCGAAGGCGAAGTCGTACTGCTGACTGTACAGAGGTGTGACAGCAGTAAGGTGTTTCCTTCAGACAACCAGCATGACAGCGATGCTGCCTTCCCACAAGGAGGGGTGGGGTTAGAAAAGGTCGACCCTAAAAATGCACACCTCGCCTTATCCCACGGATATCCGTCTCCGGCGGTAAGGTCTCAATAAGTACGGAGCTAACACAAAAATTACCCATAAAAGGTCGTGTGTGACCGACCTCAAGCAGTTGTCCCTTGGGCACTGCGGTCACGCTCTCAGGTCACTAAGACCACCTCTAATCCAATTTCCTTTTCAGGTACCTCCAGAACAACCCTTCCACGGTGTGGGCAACCGGGAAGTGATAACCGCCCTCATACCTCTAACAGCACTCAAGACCACTGTATTCATAATCAACCTCCTCTTCAATTCCTATTATTCCTCCTACATCGACTTTCAACTCTAAATTTCCTCTTTCGGCTTCCTCCTCAAGTGTCACCATAGCCAACGATTCTAGTGCGCAAAACACTGTCCCAGGTCTACTGAAACCTCGCTCCAAACTACACATTGGAGCCTTCAACGTACGCACCCTATGTCAAATCGGTCAGCAGGCTTCCTTGGCTAAAACCCTAGAGTCTCTTTCCATTGATGTATGCTGTGTCTCCGAAACACGCATACAGGATTCCAGTGTGGTCATTCACTTGACCTCACCTCGGCAAAACGGAGAGCCAACGAGATACACCCTTCGTGTATCTGGTGACCCGATGGCCAGTTCTCGTGGACTGGCAGGTGTAGGCATAGCACTAAGCATGAGGGCCGAACAAGCACTGCTAGAGTGGATCCCCGTCAACAGTCGTCTATGTGCTGTTCGGCTGAACGGCTACGTAAGAACTCGGAAGGATAGGGACACACGTCGTTGCCTTTTTGTCGTTTCTGCCTACGCTCCCACTGACTGCAGCTCAGATGAAGTGAAAGATGAATTTTACAGAAAGCTGTCCGAACTTCTTCAGAAAGCTAAACGCTCAGACATAGTACTCGTAGCAGGTGATTTTAATGCTCAGATAGGTAGTTTAAACCAAACAGAAAGGCATTTAGGTGGATATTTTAGTATTCCGACACAGCGAACAGATAATGGTGATCGTCTGCTGCAGCTATGCTCAGACAATCGTTTATTTTTAGCAAACACAAATTTTAAGCATAAGGAGAGACATCGTCTAACATGGCGACCCCCTACACCAAACCAACGATGGACTCAAATAGACCATATTGCCATCAGTCATCGTTGGAGAGGGTCGGTAGAAGATTGTCGCTCATTCTGGAGTACCTGCTTGGACTCCGACCATGCCCTAATACGGGCACGCATCTGCTTGCGCCTCACTGGACGCAAAAAAGCCACATTAAAAAGACCCATTAGAACTGAATTGAGTAACGAGAAAACCAAAAGTAGGTTCCAGGAACAACTGAGGTCACACTTAGGTAGTTGTGAAGACGAGGCTGACCCAGATGTTGCTTGGAAAGATATACAAGCAGCTGTGGAAACAGCAGTGACATCTATTAGTGACTTAAACCACAGAGTTACAAAGAACCAGTGGATTTCTTCAAAGTCTATCACACTGATGGATTCTCGCAAACTCGTCCCATCAGGTTCCGAACATGATGAAGAGCGTAAACAAATCAGATCTAGGTTAAGAAAAAGTCTAAGGAACGACCGTGAGCAGTGGTGGGCAACGAAAGCAAAAGAGATGGAAAAGGCGGCGCAGCTTTACAGACTAATAAAAGAAACTGGAATTAATAAGTCAAGTGTAAGTGAGATTATTTCGGAAAAAGACGATACTCTCATCTGCTCCCAGTCCAGACGTTTAGAACGATGGGCGGAACATTTTAGAGAACAGTTCAGCTGGCCTTCAGCTACTCTACAACTACCCTCCATTCCCAGACAGTGTGAATGGAACATTGAAGTAGGTCCCCCAACTCTTGCTGAAGTTCAAAAGGCTATAGTTAATCTGAAACGAGGAAGGGCAGCTGGTCCAGATGGATTGGCTCCAGAGGTCTTTAAGGATGGTGGTCCAATTTTAGCGATTAGGTTGACTAATATTTTAGCTAAGATCTGGGAATTAGACGTTATCCCATCTGACTGGTCGCAATCACTTATCGTCCCAATATATAAGAAAGGGTCAAAATCATCCTGTGACAACCACAGAGGGATTAGTTTAACTAATATAATATCTAAAATACTAGCCTCGATAATTATCAAACGCCTAACTAAGACTCGTGAACTGCAAACACGAGAGAACCAAGCTGGCTTTAGACCTGGTCGTGGCTGCATCGACCACATATTCACCATTCGTCAGGTTCTAGAACACAGGCATACTTATCGGCGTCCGACAATGGTGGTCTTTCTTGACTTAAAAGCAGCATTTGACTCTGTAGACCGCGAGATTCTGTGGCAGTGTCTGTCATTGAAAGGCGTACCTCAGAAGTACATAAACCTTGTGAAGGCTCTTTACTCGAACACTACTAGTCGAGTCAGAGCTTATGGCGAACTGTCATCTACTTTTGCAACCTCAAGTGGTGTCCGTCAAGGCTGTCCACTTTCCCCATTTTTGTTTAACTTCATCATAGACCTATTGATGGAAATAACATTCTCGTCGACTGAATTCTCGGGTATTGATCTCCTTCCAGGAGGTCCACTTATCGACTTAGAATACGCAGATGACATAGTCCTGTTTGGTGAAGACGCTGACAAAATGCAGAGTCTTCTGGTAGCACTAAGCAACAATGCCAGAATGTTTGGAATGCGCTTCTCTCCCTCTAAATGCAAGTTGTTGCTTCAGGACTGGTCTGCGTCAACACCTGAACTAAGGATAGGGAGTGAAGTAGTCGAACGCGTTGACAACTTCACTTATCTTGGAAGTCTGATCAGCCCTAATGGGTTGGTGTCTGACGAAATCTCAGCACGGATTCGAAAAGCTCGTTTGGCTTTTGCCAACTTACGTCACCTTTGGCGAAGGCGAGATATCCGTCTATCAATAAAAGGACGAGTATACTGCGCGGCAGTCCGTTCTGTTTTAATTTACGGCAGCGAAACATGGCCTTTAAGAGTAGAAGACACTCGTAAGCTACTAGTATTTGACCACAGATGCCTTAGAAATATTGCTGGCGTCTGCTGGGATCACCGGGTAAGTAATAGTGAGGTTAGACGCAGGGTATTAGGAAATGATGGTAAATCAGTTGATGATGTTAGTCTGAGCCATGTTGGTAGATGCAGACTACTTGGTTGGGGTCCGCGTGACTATCGTAACTAATGGTTGGAGACTCTTGGTGACATGGCTCAGAATCGATCACAATGGCGTCGGTGTATACACTCCCTGTCTTCCCTTAAACTAAGAGATTAAAATCGCTTCATATCTTTCTTTCTACGAACCAATTCTTTCTTCTTGTACTATATCTCTATATGCAATATTCCTCTTATTTATTACCACCTTTGACCTAACCACTGCTATGAATCCGGTGTTCATCTTGTTGTGGTGATGCGGTATGGCAGCCTGGACCGATGCACATATGTGCCTGGTCCTACGTTGTAGCTGACTGACTGACTGACTGACTTATAAATTCATTCGAAGATCATAAAACCTGGAAAAATGTGGGTTAAAACTGGAGCGCGCCACACAGAATACAGGGATTAATTGCAAAGAAAAAGCGAGTTTACTTGAAGAGAAAAAACATGAATTAAACAAAAACTTACATATTCACATACAGTGATACTTTTTAAAATATTTGAATATCTTTTCTCGTTCATTGATATATTTTATATTCATCATGACGGGACAGATTAGGACTTTCGCCTCCTTTATTTCTGTTAATGCCATTTTGATCCGACAATATCGAAGTCTGGCTATGCTACTCAGAAGCTGACCTCCACGAGAATGGTGTGACAGACCCATGTGCACAATCCCTCGCAGTAGTAAAAGCACTACTGCGCTGTACGTCACACCTAGTATCTTTACTAGTGATGTTTCGGAACCTTACGGAACTCTAAACCAGGCTATTCTCAAGTGTAGGGACCTAACCGATCGACAACGGTTAGACTAATCCTCAACAACATTGAAGTACAACGTGGCACAGAGACATAAATGTTGCCACGAATGCAAGAGGTCACTGGCCAACAAACCCTTGGTGAGGGCCTGTTTGGACAGCTGTTCTTGTCAAGGCTTCCTCAACAGGTGCAAGCAGTGCTTGTTTCATTTTAAAACAACCCTGTAGACGAGCCGGCTGCATCTACCGATTGAATTCTGGAGATCACCAGAACTCCCAACGCCGATGTCTTTTCAGTTAGAGAAAAGCCTCAAACGACACGAAATTACGTCACAGGCCTCTGTCTAACTCTAACATGACAGTAGACGCCCCCTAACTCCTTGAAGGAGTTCCTCACGAAAACGATCGGTCTCTAGATCACGAGAGACAGATAGCTCTGATTGGTGTTGTTGCCATAATCAATACGGAAAACCTCGAAATCTCAGGAAACCTTACAAATTTCGGAGCTCTAAACTGACTGACACGAAAAACACT